CTTCTGTTGGCCCTTCAGATGTTTCAGAGACTCATGATCAGTGTGAATCAGAAACTCCTTTGGCCAAAGATAATGCTGCCATGTTTACAAAGCACGGACCAAGGCATAGAGCTCATTATCATATGTTGGATAGTTCAATGTGGTTCCTCCTAGTTTCTCACTGAAATAAGCAATGAGCTTCTTCTCTTGCATCAGCACGGCCCCAATTCCCACACCAGAAGCATCACATTCGATTTCAAAGGTCTTAAGAAAATCTGGGAAAGACAAAAGAATTGCATTAGTAAGTTTTCCCTTCAAGGTTTGGAACACCTCTTCCACTTCCCATTTGAAACCAACATCTTTCTTGATCACTTCAGTCAATGGTGCAGCAATGGTGCTAAAGTCCTTCACAAAACGTCTGTAGAAGCCTGCTAGTCCATGAAAACTTCTCACTTCTACGACAGTCTTTGGACTAGGCCACTCACGAATTGCCTTGACCTTTTCTTCATCAATCTGTATACCATGTGCACTCACAACAAAGCCTAGAAACACAAGATTATATGTACAAAAGGTACACTTCTTTAGATTAGCAAACAGCTTTTCCTTCCTAAGAACACCTAAAATGGATTTCAAATGCTCTACATGCTCACTTAGGCTTTTGCTATAAATCAGGATATCATCAAAGTATACCACAACAAAAACGCCTATAAACTTTCTCAAAACATGGTTCATTAACCTCATGAATGTACTAGGTGCATTAGTTAAACCAAAAGGCATCACTAACCATTCATACATTCCCTGTTTGGTTTTGAAAGCAGTTTTCCATTCATCACCCTCTTTCATGCGAATTTGGTGATATCCACTTTTCAGATCAATCTTAGAGAACACACTAGAGCCAAACAATTCATCTAGCATATCATCTAAGCGAGGTATAGGATATCGATACTTAACTGTTATGTTGTTGATGGCTCGGCAGTCAACACACATTCTCCAACTTCCATCCTTCTTTGGAACAAGTAAAACTGGCACATCATAAGGGCTCATGCTCTCTCTAATGTATCCCTTCTCCATCAGCTCGCCAACTTGCTTTTGCAACTCCTTGGTCTCCACTGGATTGGTTATGTAGGCTGGACGATTTGGTAGTGAAGCTCCAGGTACAAAGTCTATCTGATGCTCAATCCCACGGATTGGTGGTAACCACTTGGGTTTTCTTCAGGGAATACATCTCCAAAATTCTGCAAAAGAAAAGTAACTTCACTCGGCAGCACCGGTTCAAGGTCAGTCAAGCTCATGAGAGCCTCTTTATAAATAAATAGAATCACAGGCTGCTTAGAGAAAAGAGCTCTCTTAACCTCACAAGATCTCACAAAGAAGTTTGAGTTTCTCACGGGTTTACTCTCACAGGCCTTTTTCTTGGCTTTTCTCAAACTCTCACTCTCTTTTTCGTGATTAGTGTTTGGGACACTCAAACTCTCTTTTTCCTTCTTCTTGCACAAGTGTTTCTGATCTTGATATACATCAGATGGTGTCAATGGAACTAGAGTGAACTTCTTCCCCTTAAACTCAAAATAATGCTTGTTCGTGAATCCATCATGTGTAACCTTGCGATCATACTGCCATGGCCTTCCCAAAAGAATATGACCAGCTTCCATAGGCAAAACATCACAAAAGATCTCATCAGCATACTTCCCAATAGAAAAAGGAACTCTTACTTGCTTCGTCACTGTCATTTCCCCATTGTCATTCAACCATTGAAGACTGTAAGGTCTTGGATGCTTCTCAGTTTGTAGACACAGTTTCTGAGCCAAAGTCTGGCTTGCAACATTCGTACAGCTTCCTCCATCAATGATGAGACTGCAAACCTTCTCCTGAACAAGACACCTCGTGTGAAACAGGTTCTCTCTCTGTTCAGTCTCCTCATACTTGGTTTGAACTCTCAATGACCTTCTAGTAACAAGCAAATCACCCTTAGTTGGAAGTTCTTCATGTTCTTCTGATGAGGGCAATGAATCAGATACCACTTCTCCTTCTTCTTCAGTAATAATATCTCCATTGTCCAGAAGCAGCATGGTTCGTTGGTTAGAGCATTCATTGGCATAATGTCCCTTGCCATGACACTTGAAGCACTGAACATCGCGGTTCCTTGTCCTTGTAGTCTCGGATCTCCCTTTGTTATCTTGACCAGTAGTGGTTGGTTTAGCATCAAACCGTGGCTTTGGGGCTGTCTTTACTTCTCTGGAATAACTAGGTCTCACACTAGACGTTCCAGCACCATAAGACTGACGAGTTGTACTCTCCTCTTGAGCTGCTGCTCCATCAAGATAGCTTTGTGTAACATCTCCTCCAGGTCTACATAATGTTGTAGCTCCATCCGATCCTGAAGATCTCTGCTCATTCCACTCAAGAACCTTGCCATTGTGGCTTCTCTGTCCTCATCAACATCAGCTCTTATCATAAGAGTCTCCATTTCCTGAAAGTAGTCCTCCACACTCCTGCTACCTTGTGTGAGTCTCCTTAGCCTTTAGTGTAGCTCTATGTGGTAGTGACTAGGAACAAAGCGTTTCCTCATTATCACTTTCATCTCATTCCATGTCTCAACGGGATGCTCTCCATTCCGTCTCCTGCTTGTAACAAACTGATCCCACCAGTTAATAGCATAGTCATAAAACTCAGTAGTTGCTACTCTAACCTTTTTGGATTCTGAATTGTTTTGGCAGTCAAAGACTAGCTCAATCTTCTTCTCCCACTCCAAATAAGCGTCTGGATCATTTTTCCCATGGAATGATGGAATTTTCAGCTTAAGACCTCCCAAGTTGTTATCAGCCTGACCTCTGCTGTCTCTATCACGTCTATGTCTCCTTCTACTCCCTTGAGAAGAATCACCATCACGGCTGTAGTATTCATCGTCTAGATTAACCCTTGCTGGTCTCCTTTGTTCTTCTTCTCTTGGAACATGCACGTTTTGAGGTTGCCTATCTCTAGCCTCAACTCTGACTTCCTCCAACCTCTCATATACACCATTAATCTCATTTCTCAGCATCCGCCGCATCTCTCCTAACAAGGCTTCCATCTGGAGATTAGTGACTGCTGGTGCTCCTTCATGGTTATCTCCATCTTGAGACATGTTGTTCCTGCTAAGATTAATAAACAAATTAGAAATAAAAGTCCTCACAAGTGTTTCTCTCAAGTGTTTCTCTCAAGTGTTTCCCTCAAAAAGGTGTTTCACTCAATCAAATGTCACTCAGTGAATTCTCAAAGTTCCAATAGGACTAACAATCAACTCGATATGTTTCTCTCAGGAATCAACCAGTAAACCAAGTATAGAATAGAAAGAAGAGAAAGATCAAATAGAATAGAACAGAAAGAAAGAAATATAGAATAGAATAGAAAGAAAAGAAATAGAATAGAATAAAAATAAATAACTGAAAAAAAAAATTAGAATTAAGAAACTTTAGATTTTGTAAAAAACAAATTCCAGAACTTCTTCGATCCTTTTGTTTTTTGTTACTGGATTCGAAAATAAATATTAAAAATGAGAAACAGAAATAGATGAAAAGATATAAGATGGAAAGGTAAGAAAGTGAAAAGATAGTAGATGAAAAGATAAGAAGATGAAGAGATGAAAAATGAAAAGATGAGAAGATGAACAGAATGATAGAATACCGAACTTTTGAGTGGTGCTCTGATACCAGATGATGCGATCCTCCAAGATCGGGTACTATAAAGTTGGTAGGGATAATCCTTTAATCCAATGGAAGCGGAAATTCCAAAGGAAAAGGCGGTGGAACCTTAGAAAAGTGATGCAGGTAGCTCCAATAGTGAGTATATGAAACTCACCACCTGATACTAACTTATACTGCAAACAACTAACTTCGGTCGGTAGAATGGCCACACAAGTGTGATGAAGAACACTTGATAAATTGGGTTGATCCCCTGGATATGACACACCAAGACAGATCGAAATGTTCACAAAGAACAAAGAGAATCACTCTCAAAAGGTTTTATAAAAAAAAAGGGTTGTTGTTCTCAAATGAGATTACATGAGTTATATAGAAATAAAATGAGTAAATCAAGAGGCAAACTCGTGGTCAAAGCATTAACCAAAGAAAGACTTAATAAAAACTAAGTTTGAATGGCTCTTGAGCTTATTTTGTGGATGCCTCTTCAACTCTTCCTTCCAAGGCACGAAATTGTCTTCTTTAAGTAAATGGGCTAAGTAAATTTGTGATCCATTTGCCTCATTAAAACCTTTCCTGGAAAACCCATTGGGACAAAACCAAGGATAAAGAAAAAGAGTAAAAACGATCACAAACCCATTAGAGCTCTTCTTGGACTTGGATCATCATTAGAACTTCTTGAGTTGAAATTTCTCCAATCCAATCCGAGTTCTCTTTGGATGTGAGCATTTGGTTAAGTAAACCTCCAATTCCTTGTATGAATCTCTTAGCTTTAGCGCGAGTCAAATCTCCGGTTGCTGGTACAAGCATTGCATCCGCAGGTTCAAGCTCAGCTTCCACAAGTTAATCCTGATTTCCTTCCATGATCACATCACCTTGCTGCAAGTTTCTTCGGACTCGGATGTCCTAATTATCTCCCTCTTGCTGGGATCGGTTTTGAATGAGATAGCAGGCATTGTACAGGTTGTGCGATGTTACTCTCTTCTTTTCCACTTATATTTATCTTTTCTCTGCACTTTGGCTTGCAGCAGCTCTAGCTATGCTTTGGAATGTCCATTGCTTCATCTCACTTTTTAGCATTGTTGGCATTGAGTTTCGAGGACTTCTCCATGCTTCTAGTGTTTTAAGTGTTATGGTTGCTTCTATCTTTATGTCTGTTTTTCCGTTTTGCTTTTGTTGCATCGGATCTTTTAGCCAATTTGGCTTTGTTATCATGTTTTGTAAACATTCTCTTCATGTTTGAAGAGTAAGTGATTTATAATATGAATATGTTAACCAAAAAAAAAAGCCACATGCTTTCGAAAAAGCTTATAGAGCAACATATCCTAAGGGAAGGATGATTCAATTGCTCACATTTGCTTCATATCTGATGTGGTCTTGCAGCCACGAGGGTCCACCACTCGCGAGATAGGACTGAAACAAACCTTGACGCGACACGCTCTTGGCAATTTCTCGTGCTAAGAAGTTGGATTTCGGGTTGTTGACCTCGAAGCTGCATCTTTCGAAACCATAGCTGAGGTTACGAAAAAGTGTCGTGAGAGCTCGATATCGAGGCCATTCCAAAGGTCTGTAAATTGCATCTATCGCAGGTTGTAAATCAGAAGATATGATCACATCCGTAAACCGTAGATCCGTAATACTTTGGAGGGACCAAACCATACATCGCAATTCTGCTATCAACCGATTTGGGGATCGAGTAAAAGCATCTTTAGCATGGAAGATGACATTCCCGGTATGATCCCGAACAATCCAGGATCCCCCACTGTGCAGGTTCCTGTTATGCCAGTTCGCATGGATATTGCATTTAATGGTGCCAGGAAAAAGAGGAGGACAGCGCTGGGAAAGACTATGCCTCGCTCCCCTGTTTGAAGTTGACAATCTCTCCGACAAATTAAAACTGGACCAAATACTTGCTTCCTCTGTGGTTCTTTGTACGATGGATTCAACAGTGTCTTGGGTGTTGGCTAAGACAATAGCATTTTTGTTTTTCCAAACGCTCCAAATGATCTAAAGAATTGAGATTCTGGTTTCCCCCAGAATTGTAGAGTCAGAGATCCAGCATAAAGGATAAATTTTCTTCCAAAAGGTCAGAGAATCCGTTGAGGGGCGTCGCTACCTCTGCAGAGATTAAAATCTGAGTAGCCATGTCGCATCTTAAAAGAACATGGTTAATCGTTTCAGAACCTTGAGTGCACAGCTTGCAAGCAGCATCCATTTCAATGCCTCTCATACGCAAATGATCTGCCACAGCTAGAGCTCCTGATACTGCACGCCACAAGAAGATCCGGATCTTGGAGAGAGTCTTGAGTTTCCAAACTCTGTTTTTCAAGGCAATCTGAGTTTGTTCTAAATGAGTGCGAGAAGCAGGAAAAGGTATAGAGAAGTTAGAGACTAACCAGTAACCTATGCCCCATGGTTCGTGTAAGCCTATATGTGCTTATCTAGAACGTTTCTTAGGGGCATCTGTATATTTTATATATAGCTAATTAAATTTCCTAAATTTGTATATTTTATTTGAGTTTTCCGTAATTGTGATGCATAAACGAAAGTTCTAAAGCATATAATTGGATTCTATTTGAGACGTCATTTGAGTTATCCATAATTGTGATTTGTGAGCATAGCTGATTAACTCTTCAGACCAATAACAAAACAAAATAAAATCATCGGAAATACGAAAAAGGGGATTGGGGATTAGGTGTTAAGTTCCCGACAATGGTGAGAGCCTCGATTTTAGAAGAAGGAAGTGGATCGATTAGTATATAATTTCTAAAATGTACGAATAACATTTGAACATTTGCATCTACTAGGAATATAACTTATATCATTTAATTGCAAAAATGTAATTTTGTAGTTATGGAGAAAAATGTGTTTTATGATTTTGACGAAAAGTTACAGTTTATAGTTTTTGTAAAAGTTCTGTAAGAAAATGTAATTTTACAGTTTTGACGGAAAAATAATTTTTAGTTATCATAAAACAATGGTTCGAGAACTATGATAGTAAAACCTCGTTTTACAATTTTAGAAGAATAATATACAAATAATAACTTTTTGAACATTTGCATATGTATGTGTAAACAAAAAACTTATACACAAAATATATATACATTTTAATTGGATTTTAACCGAGACCCTACATTCTATTAGGAAACAAAAAGTTTTGAAACGTGAAAACGCTATTGTTGGAGCTGGATTTGACACCCCAAATCCGGCCCACTCAAGCCCAACGGGCAGATCCAAACTAAACCAAAATGACTGGGCTTCAATCTTGCGGCTCAGGCCCATTTATCTTTCAACGATCCAATCCTGAGCAACAAGACGCTCCATTTGGTGATGTCGAGCTCCAGCTCGACCGAATCCCGAGAAACAAGGAAGGATCCGAGCCAAATCAGAGAATATTCTCGCCAGTTCAAACGAGACCGAAGATCGTGGAGGAAGTTACCACACGTGGCGAGATATCCGGCTGAGGCTGCTGCACGTGGCCAAGATATGCGCTGGAGTTCGAAGCTCGATGAAGCGAGCTATATAAAGGAGGAGAACAGCTTAGTTTGGGGGACCCTTCGGCTTGATCTTTTAACATACTTTTTACACCCGAAAACACTGTAACTGCTCCCAGAGCTCTTTTCAGTTCATCTTTTTTATTGAGATCCATGTAACCGTTTCATTCGACCGATTAATACAAAGTCCTTATTTCAGTTAGTGCTAGTTTATACAGTCAATCTGTTCGAGGAAATCTAGCCCTAAATCCTCTAAAGTTCTTTCCTTACAATTACACATAAATTTTTGAGTGTGGATTTCGGTATCCACATCTATTTTAAAAAAAAATAGTAATTGTTGGAGCTGGATTTAGCACCCGAAATCCGGCCCACTCAAGCCCGACGGGCAGGTCTGAACTAAGCCAAAATGATTGGGCCTGGCCCAAGCCCATTCACCTTTCAATGATCTAATCCTGAACAGCAAGACGCTCCGTTCGACGAGGTCGAGCTCCAGCTCGACCAAATCCCGAGAAACAATGAAAGATCTGAACCAATTCAGAGCATCTTCTAGCCAGTTCAAACAAGTCCGAAGATTGCAGAGGAGGTTGCTGCACGTGGCGAGATTTCCGGCTGAAGCTGCTCCACGTGGCCGAGATTCGTGCTGGAGTTCGAAGCTCGATGAGGCGAGCTATGTAAAGGAGAAGAATGGCTTAGTTCGAGGACTTTCGGCTTGATCTTCTTTCACACTTTTTACACCCGAAAAATCTTCAACTGCTCTTAGAGCTCTTTTCAGTTCATCGTCTTCATTGAGATCTTTGTAACCGTTTCATTCAACCGATTAATATAAAGTTCTTATTTCAGTTAGTGCTAGCTTATACAGTTAATCTGTTCGAGGGAATCTAGCCCTTAATCCTCTAAAGTTCTTTCCTTACAAATACACAAAAATTTCTGAGTGTGGATTTCTGTATCCACATTTTCGCGCCGTCTGTGGGGAAGATCTATAGATTTCTCTTACTCAAGAGCAGATCCTAGCTAAAACTGAAATGGATTCAACTCAACAAACCTCGGGAAACGTCTCACCGATTCCGATCTCTCCAGATCAAGCTACTCCGACCGGCAACGTCAGCCAGACAGCCGGCGGAAACAAACCCAGGGTTACGACCCTCGTCGACACCACCGGCACGAACCCTAACGTTCTCAGCCGTGTGGAACCGATCGTGATCAACCTCGTCACCCCACCGGGTACAACGAGTAACCAGTCACAAACAGCCGAGAGGCCTCCCTCTCGAACCTGGGTGCGATCTGAGAATCCACCTACAGCTTCGGCATCATAGAGCCGAGCAGCTCCTGTTTCCCCGCTGATACCCGTTCTAGGAGCACGTCGGAGTCGGCGGAGATACTCCAAATGCTCAGTCATCTGATTGATCGACAACGAGATCAGGAGATCAGATTAGAAAGACAGGAACGGCGTCAAGCCGCAGCTTGATCCGCTGTGAGTCCACCTCCACAGACTCAGCTCGACTTTTCGTCGATCCCTGCTCCGAGTAATCCGCCCGGACCATACTTGACACCTCTGCGTGCTCCAGGTCCGCCAAACATCGCCACCTCGGCGAACCAGACACTAATCACGAAGGATATTCCGGCTCCAGAAATACTAGAGATGGGACCTTGTCCCGCGACGAGATATTTGTCTCCACCTGTACCAACACCAGGAATACCCAAAATGGGACCCCATCCCAACACGAGATATCCATGTCCACCTCTAAGACCACCTGGAACCGAGCCACCTCGACAGAGATGGCTTGGATCCTCGGCATTCGCCTCAAGCTCGCAAACACCACCCCAGTTCGGCCAACAACCGAACATGACCTCGAGCTCGAGACTTCCAAGCGGGATCTGCGAACAACCCATAGGGTTCGTGCACCAACAGCTCGGAGCCCAGATTCCAAATGATCCGATTCGGGATAACCACCTCGGCGTCGGCTCAAGAAACCTAGTCGACTACGAATCCTTTGAAAGATTCCAGAACCAGACTGACTACGCCATTCGGCAGATGAACTCCATGTTCCATCAAGCCATGAGCTCAGCTCCTGACATTGATCGAGTAATTCGCGAGACCCAACAGACTCCGTTCACCTACTCGATCATGAACACATACCTCCGAGACACTACCAAAGTACGAGCCCCGGAGTACGCTGGAAACAGCGACCCAAAAGCTCATATCTGACTCTTCAATCTCGCAGCTATCCGAGCTAATTTCTCCCTAGAAGAGAAAGAAGCAGGATACTGCAGGCTCTTTACCAAAAACCTAGTCGGACCAGCTCAGGAATGGTTCGAGACGCTGGAAGACAACTCGATCTCGAATTTCAATGAGCTCGCAGTAGCCTTCCTTAACAATATTCGATATTCATCGAAAAAATGAGAAACCGAAGCTAGTCCAAGCTCCAAATGAACCACTTCGATCATACATCGCTAAATTCAAAGCAATCAAAGCAAAAATCGCTAACCCTAACGAGGCAGTAGCCCTGCTCGCCCTCCGAACCAACCTCTGGTATCAGTCGAGGTTCAAGGCGGAGCTCACGCTCTGACCTACTGACTCACTCGATGACGCGCTCCATTGCGCTTTCATATATGCCAACTTCGAGGATGAAACAGCCGTCTGCGAAGCAAAATACCGTAACTCACAGCACCACCTCGCAACCATCGAAGAAAGCTAACGTTACACCTCCCAAAAGGGAGCTGCAAGGTAAAGATCAGCATTCATATACTATAGAGAGCTTGTCCCCTGAAAAGGAGTCGAGCTTCGACCAAAGCAAATATTGCGAGCACCACAAAAAGAACGGACATTCCACGGAGGAATGTCGAACTGGAGCTAGAATCCTGGCGAAAAAGCTCGCCAAAGAAAAAGCCGAGAAGGCCAAGAGAAAAAGCAAAAGCCTAAAAAGACCTCGACCAGAAACAGGGAAGCGGACACCGACAAAGCACCTCAGAAACAAGATCGTGAAATCCAGATAAAAGTCCAAACCCTGACTCCCCTCCATCTCGACTTCATCTGCGGAGGCTCGAAGATGTGCTGAGACTCAATCAACTGGATCAAGGTATACCAACGCAAGGTCGAGTCCGCCACGGTAAACCTATCCCTGGACGGACCCGACCACCAAATCAGCTTTCTAGAAAGCGAAACGCTGTCCCTAGACAAACCACATGATGACGCACTTGTCATCCAGATCGCTGTAGGCGGTTTCGACCTCACAAGGGTCATGATCGATACCGGGAGCTCGGTAGACGTGCTGTTCTTTGACGCTTTTAGACGCATGGGATACCAAACATCCATGTTGTCGAACGATCGAACTCCACTCACCGGCTTCGCAGGAGAAACCACCTACTCGTTAGGAACCATCCTGCTTCCAGTTAAGGCCGGCTGGGTCATAAGAACAATTGACTTCGTGATCATAGATCGCCCAACTCCATTTAACGCCATACTCGGCAGACCGTGGCTCTACGCGACGAATGCTGTAGCTTCCATATACCACCAATGCGTCAAGTTCCCAACCCCTTGGGGAACCAAATCGATATGCGGCTCCCAACGAGCCTCAAGGGATTGCTACATGGGCAGCTTCTTGCGAGCCGAGAAAGCTCCCGTATAGAAATTACTGATAGAGGAGGACCTCGCAGTCCGACAACTCAAACACAATAAAGACCCCTCCGTATGCGAGCCTCGAACAGATCTAATTGAGCAAGCATGCATAGACGACTCCAACCCCAAAAGTTGCGTTGAAATCGGGATCGACCTCGTGAAGACAATTCGCGTCGAGCTAATAAATTTTCTAAAAGAAAACCTAAGCACCTTCGCATGGTCCACCGCCGACAT